GTTGATTAAAAATAAAACTCTACCCCCCCCAAAAAAAAACCCTGATGAGAGCAATCGCTTGGTCTCTTAGAGTTCTTTATCTGTATTCCAGTTGTTCCTACAGTTAGCTAGGCACCCTGTGCAATCAGAATCAGAAAGTCCAAAAGGTGGCATCTGTACAGGTCTGTTGGTCCCAAAAGTCTGAACTGCTTGCCTTCGTCTCAAGGACCGTATGACTTCTAAAATCTAACAGCCACTTAAGCAGCCCTCCACTTTTCAAAAGGTTTTGAGGCACACGAACAACATGAACACCTCCACTCACAAGTGCAAGCTGTGTGAGTGCTTGTGTGATATAGCTGCATTTCCTGGGCAAGCAAATGAGTAATTACTTAAATACCTTTATGCGGGCATGCAGGGCTAGAACTGAGCCTCACTGCTGCAGAGACAGACAGCCCAGTCGTACATTTAAGAGCAGGCACTGTGCTGGCTGAAGTGATTCTCCCTGCCTGTGCAAACTGGCGTGAATCACAGTAAGCACGTGAGCAGATGAAGGTAGGAAGAATGAAGGGTGTGAGGAAGACGACTGGATGACCTCTAAATGTTGCTTACAATCCTACTTTTTTACGACTCAGATTTGCAGCAGCATTTGGGATGTTTAAACGTCCCTGTTTATTATATTTTCCCAGAGCTGTAGTCAATGCCATTCCCAGTAGTAATATATGACCGCCATTCCGATTTCCTGGGAGACTGCAAGCGAAGGTTTGAATGACTAGCAGACCTTGATTTGTCCTTCCTTGCCTGGGTGATGACACAGCAAGCATCTGTCTTAAAGTTCACTCAACGTGCAGAAGATGAGCAGCACATACTTCTTGTGTTTTCCAGAGTTTCATTGTGAACGAGAGGGATAGCTTTGAAAATGAAGAAGCACAAAAACAATTCACACATTTAAGAAGGAGGGATCTCCACTTCTCTCACTTGTAGTACCTTGGTGGCCCAGACCTACATATTTCATACAGCAAGAGCATAGGCTGATAATCTGCTACATTAAAGAAATTCTTAAGAGATCCTTGTACGTTATTCTTGCAAATGAATGGCTGTAAAAGCAAGTTCATTTTTTCATGTTTGACAGTGACACTGGTAAGAGACAAAAAGGAGTTAGTTTGCTCATCTTGTAGTTCATCTAAGTTTACAGTGAGGTCAGTTTAACTGGTTAATGCTTTTCGCCGAGCTCCTTTCAGTTCCATATGATGTGGGAGAAACGGCCCATACAGATCATCAGCAAGAAATGGATGTAATACATTTGATGCAGAATTTTCACCATTATTTCAGCTAAGTCTGAGGGCAGTCGTTCACATAGCATGATACTCAGCAGTTGAACAAAGGGTACTGAAGAATACTGAAAATAAGCATGGAAGGTGATTATTTTTAAATATGCAGCAGGAAATCATGTTGCTATGGGTAATGCAATCCTCGTTGCAACTTCTGTTTCAACTTCTGGGATTGTCCAGGTTTAGTCCCTTCTCTTCCCCTCTCTATCTCTTTCTGCAGAGAATCTGACCACCACTGAAATCACCTTGAGAAAGATAACCAAATACCAGTTCCTTAATTCTTCTGAGAGCTAAGGCTGACCCATACAACGAGCAAGCTTCCCCTCAGCCACTGCAGGCCACAGGAAGGAGGAAGAAAAACAGCTCAAACAAAAGACTCAAGCCCTGGAACACAGGCAACTCTCAATTACTTGCAGATGAAGGATTATCTAAGCTCCTACTCTGAAAAAATAAAAAACTATATATGTATACACACACATATAAGATATTGCTGGCTTGCAAACACACAGACCCTTGAAGAAACAGTGTGTTTCCTTCCAGGAGTATTTGTTGGCCTGATAAAAGTCCCTCCCTACAAACCTTGGTTTTAGGTCACCTTGGCTGTAATAGCACTATTATTTAAAAAGGGAAAAAAAAAACCAAAACCAAAACAAACAACAAAAAACCCCCCACTGTGTACTTTTATGACTTTATACTAAACTTTTCCTCATTTTTCACTGATAATGATACCATAGGAAGGCTTCAGAGCTTAACGTAAGCATGTTTGATACTATACTTTCAGGGAGATAAGTAAGTCACTGTGTTGAAGAAACGAGTCTTAACAAGACAGCGGGACAAATGCATTCATTGCGATGGAACTGGACTTCCTATTTATTTTTGTTAAACAAGTAGGAAGCAGTATTTGTTTGATTCCCTCCATGCGTCCAACATGTCAACACAAAAATGTCATACAGAAAACAACAGCTGGAATATATTGTGCCTGGGTAAGTGAAAACCTGCACAGAACATTGTTCACAAAGTGCCCCCTGCCGGCATCTTATTAATCCAAAACGTGTCTCCATTGTAGCCACAAACCGAAGGGTAAAAACGAAAAATGCATCTCAATCCCTAACTCTCGTTTCTGCTTTCAGAAGAAAAAAGCACCACTGTCAAATCTGTGAACACTGCAACAATCCGCAGAGAAACATTTCATAAAACGGTTTTTGTGTGTGAGCATCAATGAGGGCAAAATGGGGCAGGCAGAAACACAACTGAGAGGTAACAACTCCTCCCCACACCCCACAAGTTAAACCCATCACATCACTAGAAAACCAGCCCAAGCAGGAAGGGCGTTTATTTTCACTCCCTTTCAGTAGGACAAAGTTTTTAAATGCTTTCTGAGGATGAAAAATGGCAGGATCCATAAGCCAGATATTGCAGGCCTCCTTGTGGAGGCTTGAAGAATACACATTCTTTTACTTCTTATTTCTGATAGCGTTTGACAAAACATATTAATCATAAACTTCTACCCGCTTGGCTGAAACTAGCAAACCCCTCAGCAGCTCCAAACAGCCCTGTGGAAGAGAAGGAAAAACCCAGCTTGGCAGACAAATGTCTCTATTAATCTCTAAACGCACATGGAATTTCCCTCCAAATTTACACTGGCTGAAAGCCAAGATGACAATCTTACATCTTCCACCAAAGTTAAGAGATCTTCTATTAATAAAAAAAAAATTTTAAAATGTGTGTAGCAAAGGTTTGTACTCAGCACATTACTGTGAAATTAGAAAGAATAAAAAAATGAAAGGCAATTCTGATGCGTGATTCTTTCTCCCTTAAAAAGTGTTCTCTCTGAATGATGGGAAAAAAGAAGGGTAAAAAGATGCTCTAAAATGTGATTATTTCTGAAAATAAAATTTTGTCTTTGATTTCCCCGGTGCATATCTGTTTGTCCCATGCCCACTAAATGCCCAAGCTTCCAGCACTGACAACACTGTATGGGTAGCTCGCTTTTTGCAACTACCTTGAAAAACGTTTCAGGCACTGAGGAGGAGCTGGTTCCTTAGTTACTCTCGTTACAACTCACAGCCCTAGCCCTCGAACTGTCACTGATACTGAGACCATCATTTTAGAGCATTGCTGTTATTTAGCAGATGAGATGTTTTGTCAAATCAGGTGAGCTTTTCAGTTTGCATACTTGATTCTAAGCACGTGCTACTGCGATAATCCAACCTGGAAGCCACCAGGTCAGGGATCCATACGACCACCACTGCATCTGCTCAGAAAGGTACACAGTAGATTATTAGTAGTCCTCATTATTTGGGTATCTGGATTCAAAAAAGAATGTCAGAGGACTGTAAAAAAAGGCAACATCTGGATGATCTACCAACCAATTTGCAACAGCTGGTCACTGCATAACAACAGCAATTTCTTCCAAAAATCATCTTTTTCTCAGGACACCTGAATCTGAGATTCAGAATCTAAGACAGCTTTATGCCACCACAGCTGCACTTACTAGGAACTGCAGATATGAGAAACCCTAAATACGTATACACAATCTGCTGTGGTGAGGGGAGCTAATGGAAAGATTTAACTCGCAGTCCCTGACGGGAAGAGTTGAGCTCAATTTAGCTCACTCTTATAGCAGAGGAAGGTACCGGTAACACAGGCAGCAGCTGTTCTCCCTCTGCTCCAGGGATTTCAGTACCATCTCTGTTTTGTGATACTTTCTTAGGTGACCAAATTTCTTTTAACTTGCAGATGTAGGAAAGACACACATTTTAAAATGTCACTACATTTTATATGAATAATGACTTCCCGTACTCTGCTAAACCTTTGTGTATAAAATTGATATTAAAAACATCCACTTATGTACAAGCAAAGCTTATGAAGGAAAGGCTTTATCTGCACTGAATTACACAGTGACAGTATTTTAAGTTATCTTTCTTACCACCTTGATACTGAAAATTTCCTAAAGAATTTGATGCACAAGCAAAAAAGTTTCAGAATATGTCCAAAATCCACTTTATGAACCGTGCCTTCTACCATCATGACTTGGTTTCTGTGCATGGTTTCTTCACCCACACTGGAGTTTGTGACCTGCACAAGAGATCTCTATGAAATCCTCCAAGAAAACAGTTCCATCTTTGAAGTACAAATTCAGATCTTCTAAATCCTAACGTGACTTTTAGTGACAAAAATCACATGCTAAGAGGCTCCAGAAGCAAAAACACTTAATCCGTGAACACTGACTGAGCAAGATGAGCGTGACCACCACTCATATTCAAGCTTCATTCCTCCTCTTTGCTCCCCCCAATAAAAAAAATTAATTCCACATCCCTAGCAAGTCTTCAGCCACAGGCAGTATTTACCATACTCCAACCCAATTGAAGGCTTGTAGATTTCATTTATGAAACACACAATTCTCCCTTAAAAATACAGGTTCCCTTCAGCATGTCTGTCATGTAAAAGGAACTTTAATACAAGGTAAGGGGTGTCATTTTGTTTGTTTGTTTTAATTTGAGAAATGTTGCTTCCTGCTAAATAGAAAGGTGACGAATAACTTGGAAGGGGGGGGAACGACACTCTGCTGGATTCTGTACGGAAAAAATGTCTCAGGCATAAAGAGAACTGAAAAGTAGAAAAACTGCTAGAATATATCAAGCAGCGTAAGTTATCAGAGGCAGCTGTCAAACAAAAGTGAAGGGACAAGGATGAGATAAAGGCAGAAATTTATTTATTTATACATCATTATTCCAGACATTGAATAATATTTCTTTGGAGAAAGCTTTATTGCCCTAAAGCAGGGAAAGTAAGGATAATTTGAGATTGTTTTTTTCCATCCACTGCTAGTCATGCAGCTATTTTAACATGGGTATTATCCTTAAAAATTGTGCGTCACATCAGCGGATATTTTCTCCTTCAAGACCTTTTTAGCTATAATGGGCCAATGGATGAATTTTTCGAAGTGCTAGTGTTGTGACAGTTAAGATGTATCCTGCTGCTGACTGATATTCAGAATGGCTTCTTTGTAAAAACAGGATTCTTTGAAATGGAAAACCAAAACATTAATCTTCTAATTAATACCAAGCTAAAATTAAGATGTGGAAGATGTCTATTCCCTTGACAACCGATCCTGGCTTTTAGTTCACAGATACAGGCCTGAGCACATAAACCTGAAACCACGCACTAATTCCTCTCTACTCACATTCTTCGTCTGCTAGATACGCTGCCACTGCATCTGCTATGTCCCTACAACGTATCTGCCCTCAGCTTCTGAAAGGGCCTTTAGTCTCTTTTCATCCCCACAGAAATGATGTCACACTGGTGCGTGGGGAGGACTGGTTTCAGAATACGTCCGCACAGCGCTCTCCAGCTGAAAAAGCTCAAGAAAATGCTCTGTGTCTCAGGCCAGGCTGTTTGTACTCTGTAAGCCCTTCTGCAGGCCCCTCTCTCAGAAAGGGCATGGAAAACCCTGCAGCAGGGAATCAATCAGCTCCGCATCAGCATTCACTAGAGTGTGAACAGGACAAGCAGGTGAAAATGCTTCCATTGGTCCATATTATGTTTGATACTACACCCTAAATTTAAACATTTCTGATTTTTTTTTTTTTATTTGCCAGTTAATTTTAGCACATTCTTTACCATGGCCCCAATGCCATCGAAGATATTATGTAATTCTGCTTCACACATAAATGCTGGGGTAGTCACCACCTTGTTTTTTGTATCCACGTGAGCTTCGTAAAAGGGAGTTAAGGAAAACACAGCCTATATCTCACTTGCAGATGCTGTCTGCAAAATAAACCATCATTGACAAAACCTCACAACTCCACTATCCTATAAAAAAGCACCACCAAATATATTATACCATCCAGCTGTAGACAGCTGCAACCTATAATCCAAGATACTAGAAGCTATTTTTCCAGAAATACAAACACTGCAAGAGCAATCTGTGGGAACTCAGAAACACAAGAAAAACTATGAAACTTACCGACTGTAATAAAATGTCTCTGAGCACAGTTTGATTACAGCATTAGCCTTCAGGAAAAGAAAAAAAAAATCTCAAAGAGAACTGACCAAATGTAACTCATGCCAGTTTCATGTGCAAATTCACTCAGCATTTACTGCATTACTGGGTGTCCGAGGGAGTTCTAAAGCAGCGACTGAGAACGACTTCTAACTACACAGCTGTGTACGGAAAGCAACGTTTTCTAATCATGCGCTGCATTACATGCCATCTTCTATACACTGTATATTCCCACTAAACTGTAAGTGGGAAAGCATAGGTCCTGCATGTATTCATGACTGTAACGACACACTACTAAACTGTCTCTCAACATGAAAATTAACAGGAAAGGATATAGTTACTTCTTTCACACAATGCTTTCCTCCCAGTTCTTTAATGGCTCCTGCAGTCCCGGCATAAGGCCACTTGCCACCTTCCTCTTCTTCATGGCCCACAGTTACTTCAGCACCAGAGAGAACCTTTGCTGCCAACACTGGTGAAATGCAGCAAAGACTGCAACAAAAGGAATTATAAGAGCGATTCTACAACAGCACTCTTTCAGAACTTGGTCATCATTGAAAGGATTCAAATGGACATGGTCTTACAAATCTGAAAGACATCACAAGGCAACTTCCACTCAGCATTTTCTTAGCCTCTTCTTTGACAAACGCCTACACACACACGCATCTTGAAAAACACATTTAAAAAAATAAGCTACAACTGATACAAAACAGAAGATGCTTTTTCTAGTTCCAGCAGTAACAGCTGCACATTTCCACAAAACATACCTTGTCTCCATGCTCACACTATCAAAGTTCAAGGTCAGGTTGGATGGGGCTTTGAGCAACCTGGTCTAGTAGAAGGTGTCCCTGCCCACGGCAGGGCGGTTGGAACTAGATGATCTTTAAGGTCCCTTCCAACCCAAACCATTCTATGATTCTATGAAATGCCCCTCCAACTAACATACGTACCCAATAGGTTTGCCTGCTTTGTGGAAGTCTTTCAAGACACGTTCAACTTCTCTGTTCACCTTGCAATCTTTCCCATCAACAGCAAAGGTAGATCTGCCACAACAAGAAACTTTATACATACCTCAGTATAAACCTACAAGAGATGCCTAACTGCCCTGAGACTGGCTCTCAAGGGTCATCACAAACTTAATAGCTTCTAAAAGGTGGTTCAAAACGCCTGTAGTTGACCATCAATGCTTTAGCCAAAATGATTCACTTCTAAGGCTTTGGTATGTCAGAAAGTTCCTTACTTGATATAAACGTCTAGAAAGAAGAATTATCAGCTTTCTAGGATTACGAAGAAGTAGAACAACAATGTTTTCAAAGAAGAAAAATACATAAGAAAAGGGAAATAACATTCAGGTTTCTCAAAGCCAACAAAATGGCAGGTCAGTAACAAGATAATCAGTATTCCACATGGCTAACGCTTTTTTTTTCCCCCCTTTTTTTTTTTTTTTTTTGAGCTAGCTGTTGTTTTATTGTTACTAATGCAAGAGGGGAATTTCTGGTAGGCAGACATGAAGAAACAGAATAATAACACCAGGAACACCTGAAACTATTGAAGTTTTACCTTCACCTCCCTCAGTCAGGCCCAAAAAGAATCACCACAAGGGTGAAGGAAAAAGGACTTCTTGTGCATTATCTAAACTCCAGAATTCTCACCAACATTGTTCAGAAAATTTAAAATATGACAATGCCAGTAAGAATTATAACTGGAAACTATCATGAACAGCACAACTTAACTCCAACACTTTGAAAGGAGTTTTCCTTATTAAGTAGTGGTTACATATGTAGTAAATAAGGCCATTTATTGCTTCCTGATTTTATTGTGTGAATCATAGCTGATTATGAATAGTTGATCATGAGTATTTAGTTGAGGAGTCTAATGCTTAGTTGGCACTCACAAGTTTTTAGCAGCTCCAAATCCACCAGGGAATATCACAGCATCATGGTCTGCTGTAGTAAGCTTAGCCAGGCTTGCAATTTTACCACGAGCAATCCTTGCAGATTCCACTAAAACGTTCCTTGAAGAACCAGAAATAAAACAATGAGAAGAATTAAGCATTTGCACACAGAAGAGCATAAAGAAAGTTTTGGCAAAGGAAGAGGAGGGGGAGGAAGGAAGGAAGCAAGAACAGTGGTACTCAAAAACTGAAGCTATCGATGCTTCCGAAATACTACTACTGGGAAACACAGGCATTAAGAGACTATATAATCAAGTCTAGAAAACTCTTAATATTTTCTCTCCAATCAAAATACCAGCTACCATAAAGCTACTAAAGCCAGTCAGTAAAGTGCTACAAGCGCAGTTACAGGCTGCTATGTCTGAAGAATGCCTAAGCGACTGAGACTCGGCAGTCACGGAAAACACAGCAAACACAGACTTTACCTTGACTCAGCTTCAGCTGGTTGCCCTTTACTGTGGTCAATGACATGCATCTGAGGAACATCTGGAGCATACATCTGAACCTCAGCTCCCCCACGACTAAGGTGTACCAGTATGCTACAAAAACGGAGATAAAACATGCTGAAAACCTTAGAAGAAAGGCTTTATCTGGCCCCTGAGTCTTGCTACAAATATTCCACCACCTGATTTTGAAAGAAGAGGAAAAACACACATCCATCCAAAGCATACTGAACATGTAGCAGCAAAATCCCTGTATGTAACACCAAAGTGCAAAGCAGAACAGAAAGTCACTTTGGAGGCAGGGTCAAGCAAGCTAGAGACAAGTTTCTTTGTTCAGTGCTCTTAGGCAGGCAACCAGGAACAATAAAAACTTCCTTTCTCATTGCAAGTCCCCAGGTGTTACTGAAGAGTCCCACAATTAACATACCTATGTGAACATTTAATCCAGGTCTAGGTGAAACATCTCTTAGCAATGAATACTAAGAGTTAATAATTCAACTTGAGTATTAACAATTCTAGTGTTAGATTTAGCCGCAGGAACAGAAACTCAAAGTGATTATGAAATGAAGTCTCTACTTAACTCTCTTGAGACTGATTCTGGAACTCTGAATTTCTGTTTCTGAAGGAAAGACAGTCTCTCTCAAACTCACTGCTCTGGCATCGCATGCATTGTGCTGCACCTTTGGACAGTCACCGACTACTGCAAGAATGCGTCCTGAGCTCCCAATTATGCTGTGAGAAAACTGTGAAGCTTCATCATACATCTTTTAGGGCAATTTTGATGGCCAGAGAGAGAAAAACTGAATTCAACAGACTGCTGTAATGTAAAGGAGACTTTTTTGGAGCCTACAGTTTCATAAAGCAACTTACGCTGAGGCCTCATGGATTTCTGTGCCATCGTAGACACCACAACCAGATAGGACCTGCAGTAAAAAAAATCAAAAGAGTATTTCAGGTGATACAAAGCTTTCTACAGGATCTTTCACAAGCTTTGTAAGATTTAAAAAAAAACAAAAAAACCCAAAACCAACAAACCTCCCTCCACCCCCCAAAAAGAACAACTTAAACAAGCTCTGGATTTCTGTGCCATCGTAGACACCACAACCAGATAGGACCTGCAGTAAAAAAAATCAAAAGAGTATTTAGGGTGTTACAAGGTTTTCAACAGGATCTTTCACAAGCTTTGTAAGATTTAAAAAAAACAAAAAAACCCAAAACCAACAAACCTCCCTCCACCCCCCAAAAAGAACAACTTAGCAACAAGCTCTTTACTAAGCCAGTCAACACCATGCTATTAGCACTGGTGTCGCCATGTGACATACTGCAGAAGAGGCATTTCCTATTTATAGCTATTCATCACAGACAAGTCTCAGAAATAACTAAAATTTACTTATTGGCTTGTGCATTTATTCCTTAGAGTTAATAAACTGACATGATATCCTTAGGTATGTTTTTATTGTGCACATAATGGGTTATTCTGAGTGTTGTACATCTATTTATGAAGTGTCCATATCAGCGTGAAATACCTTCTCATCCAGATGCACATCAGACAGAAGTAGGACAGAAATGCACTTCGAGGTGGCACTTAGGACAAACTATTTTACCTGCTGCTGCAATTTGCCTGAGGATCCACATCAGAGATCAATAGCTAAATCATTTCTAATCCAATTATGCTATATTAGCCATACTTTTCCTTATTACCATGGTAATAATACTTTCAGTTTGTTTATACACACTGGAGAATAAAAAGCACAAAGCAATCAGCTATCCTTGTGTGGGTGGAGAGTGTCTTGCACAAAGTAGAAGCAAGGAGAAAAAACATTTTAGAACACCCAGAAAAAAAAAGAGATTATAAGAACAAAACAAACCCCAAAAAATCCAAAGGATTTTCTAGCTCCTAAAAGTATATATATGAACTTTTGTGGGGGTTTTTTTGTTTGGATGTTTGGTTTTTAAAGAAAAAAAATCCAGTTAAAAAGAACCCATTTATTAACTTTATTCTCTTCCCTCCTGGTTTTCTCTCAGTTTTTAGAAGCTTGGAAGTTTTTAATCACAGACAAATGAACGGAAACTCACAACTGAAACTGTCTTAGTTAGAAACACTGGACTCAAAGGGGCTTTCAGATCACAACATCCAATCCTCTGCTCTCACAGGCATGACATCCTACCATCGCTTCAGCAGATGAGTAAGATCCATGAATATCTTTCTGTCCGTGTTAATTCTAACTACAATTTTGCTGCTCTGATATTTAAGAGCCACCTTCTACCTTCCGACTTTTTATTTAATCTTTCATTTAACTTAGACTGAATAAACATACAAGCAACTGTGCTAAAGTTATCTTCTGTAAGCAACGCTTTTTAAATGTTTTTGAAACTCACTGAAACTAAAGCACTAAAGCACTACCCTCTTCTGTTATTTCAGTACCTGCTTGGTGACAAATCTGTCTTCTACCATAATCAGAAATTTACGTCACTAATCTCAACAATAACATTTGTTTTCCACTCTCTATTTAAAAAGCTATCGTTTGCTAAAATGACAGCACTCCTGGTAAGTTACCTGTTAGACATTTGGACCAGCATTCTGCCCATTCCTGAACCAACTCTGCCCCAAACAGATTTCTTCATGCAGGTAATGCCTTCTTATTTCTTTACATTTTATGCTGTCAAGACTATACAAAGCTCGAGCTTCAAAGACCGTCCCTTGAGCTCCAAAACTGTGTATCCATTTGAGATGCTATCTACAACCTAAATTTTCTTCTGGCAACCTGTGGCTCCTCCGTCTCCTCGCTTTCTTTTATATTTTTAACATGCTCTAGCTCCTTCGTGCACAAGGGCATAACCCAGTTTAAACGCTTTCCTGTACACTGCCAGTACCTCCCCCAATTACGTTGTAAATTATTCCAAGTTCAGCTCCTTGTAACTCAACTCCGGCCAACTCCAGGCCAGTAACAACGATACAGAAGCCAATTCTTACGTGTTTCCCACTCCTGGCCTTGCTTCCTCCAAGTTACTCAATTCTAAACAGCTTTATCGTCTCAATATCGGCTTCTCCCAAGGTTTTCCAGCTGCCGCAGCCACCAGGCGAGTCTCTCCTCGGCCCGACGCCAGGCCAAACCCTCTCACCAGCAGCC